GCAATAATACAAATTATTTTGTGAAATAGAATTTTCATTAACTTAGATTGATATGAGATGTAAGTAGGCATGTCAGACACTGTAAGGTATGTCCTTTAGCTAAAACCTAAGGGTAGAATAGAGGTCTCTATACTCCATCGCCACTTTCAAAGCTATCTTGGGTGAACGTAAGCATGAACATTGTTGCGTGTTTGCCCTGGACACAGAGAAGTAAATATTATATTATGGTAGTAGTAAACTGTCCAATATGACACATTTTGTACATATCCAGGATACAAGACAATAGACAGTTCAGATGTTGCAGTAATAAAAAAAAATAGTCATCTTCATGGCATACACGAAAACATCACCTCAAACAGGGATGTGAAGTTTAAGAGTTGCTTGTGGAAAACTTTATAGGAGAAGTTAGGTAGGAAACTCCAATTCAATTTACTAGCCCTCCCTTAGACTGATAAGTGGACAAAGATGGTGAGTTACAATTTTGAAAACATCCTCAACTGCTTTGTTGTTAAGAAAATATGACAGTGAGACTTTATTTTTCCTTAAGTTGAACTAGTATATAATAGAACCCGTAGGTTGAATTTCTATTAGCCTAGATTGATATGAGATGTGAAAAATTATGTTCAACGGCGTAGGGTATATCTTTTAGCTAAGAATCGAGGACAAAAAAAAGGTCTCTAAACTCCACTTGGGTGGATGTAAGAACGAACTTTGTTATGCGTTTGCCCTGGCCACAATGAAGTAAGGACTCTATTATGATAGTATCATACTGCTTCTCCAATATGGCATTTTTTACCTTGTCACAGTACGATGGATGATTCATGCATTACAAACATGTGCTTCAAAGAGATTATCCATCCTCATGTCGTGCCCAAAGCCATCACTTTAGACGAGGGCGTGAAATTCAAATCACTTTGTAGGATTTTATGAGATAAATTAAGTACAAAGCTCTAATTCAATTCAATAACACACCCTTACATTGATGGGCAGATCAAGATGGTTAATCGCAATTTAGGAAATATCTTCAGATGTTTATGAGAAAGAACATTAGGCGATGGGACATAATTCTTCTTTAGGTTGAGTTTGTCTATAATAACTAGCAAGTTCCAAGCATCTACAACCCTTTTGACATTGTATACGAATAAAAACTTCTCTAACAATTGGAGTTACTGTCGACAATTTCAACTATTGAGCTTAGTAATAAGGCAAAAAACTAGATTCAAAGATATTCAAAACTTACATGAGCATGTAAGAAAAGAAATTGTCAAACAAAATATTAAGTATTATAAGAAAACTATTTATCCTGGAAAGTGCTTAAGTATTATAAGAAAACTAGTTATCCTGGAAAGTGCCTTTGTGTGAATCAGATTTGAGATTTCCTGCAACTTCTTTTGAGAAACTCAAACCTAGAGTTGGCCCGGTCAGAGTTGTTAAGAAAATAAAAAATAAAGCATACAAAATTGACTTACTGAATGGTTATAGCATCTCTGGTACCTTCAATATTGCAGCTTTGTCATCATAATTCGTAAAACAATGATGTAGAGGCTTTCAACAACGCTCCTACCTAGGAAGAATGGCGTGAATGTCTGCATTATTAAGTTGGACACGAGCAATCTTGCCATGGCACCAGCCAAAACCAGTTCTATCCTCTGACAGGTCCAGAAGATTGCTATACCCTTAATTGGATGACCCACCGTAAGATTATTAGTTGCTTTATTTATGATACTATTATGTTATTTTTGTTTCTTGCATATAAATATATTATTTAGGATCCGGTTTGAGAACTTTGTTTTGTTTTAAGATTAATTCAATATTGTTCATCTATTCTTCCCTTGTTAGAGTGGCGTGTCCTCTTCCCCTCTCAAGTGGTATTTTAATTGGAAATAAGTGGTAAATTCTCTAGAACGTTTGAAGACCCTCTACACCTTCAATGGTTGCCTCCTACCTAATGTTTACTACAAATCAATTGTTGTAATTGTTGCATCCTATGTTGAATCCTCAATCAGCCCCTTTGCTTTAGCATCAATACCCCTCATTTTGATACTTATAAATAGTCTAAAAAGCCTACATTGATGCCACCTCAAGTATTTGGACTTGCTCTCTTTCTATTACTCTTATTGATATCAGAACTAGTTCAAAAAGCCAGTGGAAATGAAAGTAAACTTTTATTAGAACTAAGTTAGGGTTACAAAACGACGCAAACTGAGAAGGAAATTACGACACAACAACAATGCTCTCCGGCTAGGCCCGGAAAATAAAATCCAATGGTGGTGGTGGAATCGGTAAGGAGGTTGAGGAGTAGTGTGGTAGGGCTTAGGTGAAGTATGGTGGGACGATGAGGGTGACAATAGTCAATGAATGGGGATGAGGAGGGACAAGATAGGGGGTTTTTGGTGGGGCATGGTAGAGGGTGGACGACAAGTGGCAGTGCAGGGATAGGTCGGTATGTTGCATGTTGGTGGCTGGGAGGGCAATGATTTCTACAGTGGAAGGGGCGGCAAGGGGCTGGTAGTTGGTCGAAAGGGTTGGGCAGCAAGGGTTGCTGCAGGGAAGGGAAGCAAAGCAGTGACATAAAAAGAGAAGCAATAATACAGAGGGGAGGATATGGGAAGACTGGCGGTTATGGTAGGTAAAGGAGAAGGGGTAGGGAGGAAAATAGGAGAGGTTACAACACCACCTCGGAGAAAAATACAGTCGAAGCACCACCCGTCATGGAATACAACCCTAGCTAGGGAAGGAGAGACTCTACACGGTATCTAAAAACAGTAAGCAAGTAAAAACTAACCCTGATTTCAACAAACATACATGCATACAAATAGGGATAGGGGGAAATTAGGGAAAGGGGAAGGCTATGGGCGGCAATTTCCAGCTCTAAGAAAGGCAAGGAAGGCGGGAATCAAGAAAGGAGAGGAAGGTGTGGCGACCCTAAGAATGTTGACTGGTCTAGCATGAGGCTAGGCTGAACCCGCCTCGCATCCCTACCTCACATCCCGCCTCACGTACCCCTCCTAGCTCCTGTGTCAGTCTCACAGGGTTGGTGGAGCTTCGATTTTATTTGTCGAAGCTTCTGGTTCTTTGTCTATGATTCTAGCAACACCTGGATCCCACTGGTGGTTGCACTGTCCTCCAAGGTACCTGAGGGTCTTTCCCAACTTACAAGCAAACATCCATAGAGGTATTGTGCAAACAAAGTATAAGAGAAACCTCATAGTTTGTAGAATGGCAATAAGAATACAAATAAAAAACATGTGTTAAGCAAAGAAATCGAAAATGATTAAGCTAGGTATGGTGAAAACAATGATTTTGCTAGAGCACTTTTATAAGTTCACTTTACCAAAAGCAATTTTGATTTTGAAGAAAAATGTGCTTTGAAATCCCCACAAATGTATGTGGACTCCGACAACTTCACCAGCATGGGGAACACACTAAAGGATTAGCTTTTCTATCTACATGAATATGGTTGCTACATTTGATACAGCACAATAGAAAAGCAACAACACAATATCAATAACATAGCACAAAAAAGTTATACCAGATGAAGCTTAAGATCGATTTCTAGAAAATAAAAGATAACATAAGAGAAAAAAGACTAGAACAAAGCAAAGTTTTTCCACATGATTGAATGGGATATTGGTGCATGATACAAATGAACTTTAGTTTGAGAAAAAATGACAGCTGATATGAAGAGCACCTATGAGGTTTGGGGTTTAGTCCCACATTTAATAGTTAAAATATATATTTGTATTGAAATACAAAGTAGTTGACTCTCAACTAAATGCTCAAGCTTTTAAATAAAAAATGAATTTAACCATGGATGTATTGAAGGAGAAAACTAGAACAAGGTTCCAAAGGTTCAAAATAAAGACAAAATAGAAGAGGTTCAAAGTAAAGTGCTTTTTACTGGCAAAAATGATTCCCATGTCAAGCAGAAGGGTTGAAGATATGTGGAACAGACAGTATATGTTCATGTCAAATTTGATCAAGGATGTGCTACTCACTAGATAGTCAAGAAGGAGAGAATATAAACCTTTTAGAGAAGCAAAATAAGAAATATAATAACAGCCTATGCTCAGATTTAGAGTGGACTCTCACAAAATTTTGCATTACATGGTCAAGATAACATTTCAGTTTCTTGCACAGATGCTTGATTGTTCCCTGTATCCCTTACAGGGATTCTGCCAAGCCAATTCACATCATGAAGAAGTAACAAGTTTAAACACATTGGCCATACCAACTAAATCTGTCTACCAGATTATAAAAGGAAGGGGCATTTACATACATACCACCCAATTCTTTTAAATTTACATATGTAACATCTAAACTTTTCTTTTTTACATTTATAACATCCAAAACTTTCATATCACATCAAAAAAACCCTAATTTAACATATCAAAAGTGAAATACACCTTTTCATACGTAGGAAAGGTGACGTATATGTAAAAAATTAAAGTTTAGAAGTTAGATATATAAATGGATAAGAATTGGGAGGTATGTATGCAAATGTTTCTAAAAAGAAATAGTCATGCCTTCTTTTCCTTTTTTTGATAATAAAAAAGATCTAAAAAATTAACAATGTCATTTACACCATATAATAGCAAAAGAAACAAAAAAAGAACATTCTGGTTGAGACATCTCAGTCTAGAGTCCTTAGTCCATAATACCATCAGCCGTGCTTATGCAGATAAACCGATCAGACAAAGAAACACTAACAATTCAATTTCCTTATTGATAAACACAGGCTAAAAAGCATAATGGTCCGAAACAATCCATAAATTCAGACTCTAACCGTTGCCAAACAGTGTAACATGACAGTAAAGTGGCACGAAAGCAGCCAAAGAATTCGTCAAAAATCACCTAATTCATACACATACTGAATATTTAATGAGCAAAAGAAGTGCAGATATATTCACAGTAACCAAAAGCAACAGTCTCCACCATGGAAGTACAAAAATACTTGTAGTGGCCACGTTAATAAAGTTCAAACAGATAATTCCATTTACCTGTGCTCCTCCTCGCTCCACGCTATTCCCTTCCTCCTCTCCTGCTCCAACCTCGACCCTTTGCTGCTCTCATGGCTGTTTCCCTGCCCGCTCTTTTTGCTGCTCCCATCATTAATGGCTGATTCATCCGTAGTTTTTGAAGATGGATAGTTAGGTAAAGGTATCAAGCCCGACTCAATAGCACCAACATCTTCTTCCAACAGCTGGTAATGATGCATAATCTGCTCTATTGTCTTCATTGGCACATTTGCTGCTATTTTCTCCCAACGGTCATCACTGTCCTCCGTATAAACAGCCACAGCATTCTCAAACGCCTTCTCCTCCTCCCAGCTCCATGAGTAGCTACTGCTTGACTCTTCCATGGCCATGTCAAGTGTGTAAAAACCTATTTTCCTCTCTCTCTCTCTCTCTATCTTCTAAATCCTCCAATATGGGTGAGCACAAAACTCAACTTTTCGGATCTGGGTAACTTATATTCTTAAATACAAGTGACTGAGACTAATCCGATAAAAGGCGCAGACAGAAAAATAATGTTGTCAGAAAATGGATTCCCCCGCACAGCCCGACTGCCGCAAAGAGCCAAGAAACAATTGCACCGAATGGGATCCAAAGATTGAAAATTTGCAGAAAAAGGAGAAGATGATGAAGTGCAGCTCCCGCGTTCCAAAACAAAAAACAGCTTCCCAAAAAATGCGAGGAGGCCGCTCCTGCCGACAGGATGATTGAGGTGAGTAATTTAAGGGAGAGGGGAAATTGCTTAAAAGAAAATTAGGGTTTTGGGATCGAAGATGAAGAGACAGCGGCGAAAGTTTGAAGAGAGGCGTGACTATTGGGAGGTTCATGATTCTCGAAGAGAGTAGAAACCGAGGCAGCCATGTAAGGGGCTTTTAAATTACACCCTCGCAGTGAAAACTAACCCTTTGCATCTTTATGAAGTTTTGAAAATTTACACCCCGCTGTAATAATATTCAGAATTGCCTTATTTGCAGGATGACTTGTTCAAAACAAATATCACGTTTAAATTCAAAGAGAATAAGACATTTTAAGGAAAAAAATGTTACATCAGGATTCTGCACGTAGCTCTGCATACAGAGTTCAATGAAATTTTATCGTGGAGGTCATCGGCTCGGTAACACAAGAGAATATTTTCCTCGTGTTATTCAGGTGTTATTGTGTGTTATTCATGTATCATTGTGTGTTATTCAAATATTATTAATGTGTTATTGTGTTATTGTGTTATTGTGTTATTATAACACCGAGAACATTCTCATAACACAATAACACCTGAATAACATACAGTAACACGTGAATAACAAACAACAACACTTGAATAATACGAGAGGAATATTTCATTGTGTTACCGGGTCGATCACCTCAACGGCGTAATTTCATTGGACTCCGCACAGAACTCTACTTGCGGAGTCCTGATGTAGTATTTTTTCTCATTTTAAGGGCATTTACATACATACCACAGAATTTTTAAATATTTATGTGTGTAACACTTAAACTTTTGCATAACACTCTAGAGTTTAGATTATCTTTAGTTTTTTTAAAAGTGAAGTGTGCTTTAATTGTATAGATTCATGATTCCAAAATGTTATAAATGTAAATATCAAAATTGCGGTCTAAAATGTGTAAATAAAAAGGAATTAAAATCAGAATATTACATTATGATGAATTTGCATGATGCTAATCATAGATTAAAATACTTATAAGTCCAATTTAATAGCATTTTGTATGTCAGACTTATATAAATAAAAAATGTGGTACACCGCATCAAAATATTACTCAATTGAAATGTTGATCCCAATCATTGAAACGAGTTTCAAGAGCCAAGATCAACTATAACCTATTTGTACTAATAAAAGAGAAGTTATTGATGATCTCTAATTTTATTTTTTATTTATTTATGTATAATAGCATGGCATAAATAATTCTTTCAGTACTTGTTATGGTCATAGGTAAAACTAATTATATTGGTTTCAATAGAATATAAATAAGATGATATTAAATGTCTATTTGGGGCAGCTATAAATTATTAAAAAAATATTTGTGAAGTCGCTAAAGAATGGAATGATATTGCAAAAAGTTGCGGTATAATATGATATTATAAATTTTTTTTAAAAAAAAAGTCTAACTGTAACTAGAAAGTTGTCGCCGCACCTAGGCAGGTTCGGTGAAAAACACTAATTTCAACGTTAACTTTTTGATAAAGCTAGCAAAACGCAGTTTATCCAAACAAGTAAAATTGCGGTGCACATCGCTGCCCCTATGGGACCCTATGTGGCATTAGGGCTGTAAACGAGCCGAGCTTGAGCGAGCTCAGGCTTGGCTCGTGT